AAGGGAGAGAGATAGAGAGTTAGAAACATCGATCAGCTGCCTCCTGCACATCTCCTACTGGGGATGTGCCCGCAACCCAGGTACATGCCCTTGACCCGAATCGAACCTGGGACCTTTCAGTCCACAGGTCGACGCTCTATCCATTGAGCCAAACTGGTTATGGCCACTTTGAATATTTCTTGCCACTCCCTTCTGGCCTGCATAGTTTCTGTTGAGAAATCAGCTGACATTCGTATGGGTACTCCCTTGTAGGTAACTGACTGTCTTTCTCTTGCTGCTTTTAAGATTCTCTCTTTGTCTTTTGCTCTTGGCATTTTAATTATGATGTGTCTTGGTGTGGTCCTCTTTGGATTCCTTTAGTTTGGGGTACTCTGTGCTTCCTGGACTTGTAAGTCTATTTCTTTCACCAGGTAGGGGAAGTTTTCTGTCATTATTTCTTCAAATAGGTTTTCAATATCTTGCTCTCTCTCTTCTTCTGGCACCCCCATAATTCGGATGTTGGTATGCTTGAAGTTGTCCCAGAGGCTCCTTACACTATCTTCATATTTTTGGATTCTTTTTTCTTTTTGTTTTTCCGGTTGGGTGTTTTTTGCTTCTTCGTATTTCAAATCTTTGACTTGATTCTTGCGATCCTCTAGTCTGCTGTTGGAACTCTGTATAATATTGTTTATTTCAGTCAGTGTAAGCTTAATTTCTAGTTGGTCCTTTTTCATATCCTCGAGGGTCTCACTAGATTTCTTGAGGGTCTCACTAAATTTATCGGCGGTTTCTAGAAAATTCTTAAAAAACCTTATAACCGTGGTTTTGAACTCTATATCCAATAGTTTGCTCTCCTCTATTTCTGTCATTTGTGACCTGTTTCTTTGTCTCCGCATTTTTTATGCTTCCCTGTGTTGATAGAGTGGCTTTGTGTGCTAGGTGTCCTTTAGGGCCCAGTGACTCAGCCTCCCCAATTACCTGGGGTGGACACTCTTGGTGCACCCCTTTGTGGGCTTTGTGCACAGTCTTGTTGTAGTTAAGCCTTGATTGTTGTAGGTATCACTGGGAGGAATTGACCTCCAGGCCGATTGGCTGTGAGAATCTGCTGTGTCTACAGTGGGAGAACTTCTGTGCTGAAGACACCCTTCTGGGGCAAGACTTGCTTCAGTGGGGCTTTGGTGCTCACTGAGTCTGCCCCCTGAGTGTGTCCCTTATGGATCTGAGGAGTTGTAATCTGGATGGTCCCACTCTGACCACTGGGTACACTGGCTCCTGGATCTCTAAGGAGGTGCTAATTTAGCTTCTGCCTGAGCCTACCCATTAGGAGCTATGGAGAGATCTGCAGATTCCTCTTCTTTGTTTGGGGTTTGGAGGTGCCCAGATGAGGCCCAGCTGTGAAGCAATGCAAGCTGCTGTGGGGCCTTGGGCCTTCTTTTGGAAGTTCTGGGTCTCTCTGACCCAGCTGCAGTTTGTTAGGTAATTTTCAGATTGCAAAGGGCCAGGCCTTTCATATGCAAAAGCCTCTGTGCGCAGCTTGGGTGGGGCGGGGTCTCAGGGAATCAACAGGGCAGAGCAAACAGCTATGGCTGCTCTTCAGTCCTACCCTAAGAGGCCCCGCGTCTCAGTGTCCCAGTAATCGCTCCAAGCACCTCTGAGAGAAAGCTGCCCTCGCCTCGAGTTCCCACCGATGCCAGACAGTCCAGTTTCTCCCCGTATGAGTCTGGGTCCCCAGAGACTCGCCCGGAACTGGAGTTCAGAGCAGTCTGGAGTTTGAGACTCCCTCCAGATTGAAAAAGACAACCATGTCCTCAGCTGCCAGCCCTTTCTGCGTGCGCCTCTGTACCTCTGCACTTTACTTCCACACCTTCTCTGAGTCTCAGTGTGCTTTTCTCTGTCCTTCTAGTTGTAGAATTTCCACTCAGCCAGCCTCCCTGTGGTTCTGGATGATGTCCATTTTGTCTTTTAGTTGTATTTTTGAGGTTGTTGTGCGAGGTAGCAATTTCCGGTGTTTACCTATGCCGCCATCTTGGTTTCTCTCCATTGTTCATTTTCTTAACAAGCTTCCTAGGTGACGACTGTAGGTGGAGGGACTGTGTGGTGATCTTGTGAGGTTTCCTCAGATGTGTTACATGGTCATCTGTGAGCAGCTGCCTCCTGGCGTCTGGGTTTCTGATGGGTCTGGCCTTAGCACTGCCTGAGCCTTCTTCCCCGTCTGCAGGTTCATGGAGTTTGAGGCTGAGGAGGAGATGCAGAATAATAACACACAGCTGGTGAATGGGTCCCAGGGTTTGCCTCCTGCAGCCCCTCTGAAAGTTGATCCTCCAGCGCTCCAGGCCCCTGAGGTTTGCCAGCAACCAGGTAAGGCTACCCAGTTCTAACAGAAGCCTTACACCAGAGGCTCAAAGGAAGGCATCCAGAAAGCAAGCATGGGTTGGGGAAGGCATTGCCCTTGCTTCTGCCTCTTTTCCTCGAGAGGGTGGGATTAGATGTTCCAAACAGGGCAAATATAGGAGACTGGGTTCTCCGATTCCCTTGGTCCCAATCTAGGTATTGATCTTGGCCAAGTAAACCAACTACTCTCTCATCGAGGCTGTAAGTGCAGCCCATAATACCTCATCTACCTCAGAAATGGGGCCTGGATTGGGGAGTTCTTGGGATTTCGGGGGTTGCAAGATTCTTCATACAGTGGCTCTCTCTCAGGTCCTGCAGCCCCTCAATCTTTTCCCATGGCTGGTACTTTCCGGGGTGGCCCTATCCAGCCTGGAGCATTTGTGTTCTCCCACGGGGTCGGGAGGCAGAAGCTGTAGTCTTGGTGCCACTTTCCATTCCCCCTTTTCATCTCTTCCCTTAGTGTATATTCCCAAGAAGGCAGCCTCCAAGTCACGGACCCCCCGCCGGCGGCAGCGCAAAACCCAGAAGCCTCCAGTTCCCGAGGCACCCAAGGAAATCCCACCAGAAGCTGTGAAAGAGTATGCTGACATCATGGAAGGGCTGGTGGGGAACCACTTGGCCACTGGGGAGTCGGATGGAAGACCGGAAGAGGATGAGCAGCCGCAGGAGGAGGAAGGGCTGTATCCAGATCCAGATCTCCTGAGCTACATCGAGGAGCTGTGTTCGCAGGAGGACTTTGTCTCCAAGGTGAGGGCCGGGCCTGGAGGTCTGGTTTCTAGCAGATCCTGGGGTGGGAACTCCAGGGAACCGAAGATCTAGGGTTCTGCCCTCAACTCTGTTCTGTACTGAACAATGCATGTGCATGTATGCACGCATGTGAATGTGTATAGCTGGTGGTGGTCATGGCTTATAACAACCTGGGGTGGGGAGGGCACTTATGGCTTCTCGAGAGCCTCTTGGCTCACAAGTTACCTCCTGTCAGACTCATATCACTTTTCCTTCTATTGCCCAGGTGGAGGCCATCATTCACCCCCAATTTATGGCAGATATACTGTCCCCAGAAGAAGAGAGGGACCCCTTGGCTTTAATGGAGGAGCTGGAGCAACAAGAAGGATTCAGTCTTTCCCAGGTAAACCTGAAGGGTTGGGGGTATCAGAACAGGAAGGTCGCATGTTGTTAGCTAACCCTACACTGTCGTGGATGGTAGGACTTCTGGAGATGAACAGCTTCAGGAGTGGGCTACGGGTACTGAACCGTAGTAAGGGACTGTGGACATGCAGGAAAAGGGAAGCGTAAGGGCTCAAAGTGTGGGAATAAGGTCCAAGAAGGCAGAAAAGAGCTATGGTATCTGTCTTTAATACTGTCACTTAAGCCACTTGCTTGCATTCTCTGCCCTGCCCATCCCCTCAGCCCCCCCCCCCCCCCAACCATGTGTAGCATAGCATGCTATGTGTCCATTCTCCTTCCAGCTGGTTCAGAGGAGACTCCTGGCCCTGGAGGAGGAAGAGGATGCAGAGGCAGCTCCAGGTTGCACTGGAGCTCAATTGGACTCAAGTGCTTCTGTTTCTGATGAGGATGAAGATGGGGGTGGACGGCTTCGGCCTTCACCTGGGCATAGGGTGGCTGGGGGCACTGTTTGCCTTGGGAAATCTGCTTCTCCAGGAAAGCAAGCGAGGGAAGTGCATAGTGGGCAGGAACAGGCCCTAGATGGCCCAAGGGGCATGTGCAGGGATGGGAACACCCTGGCATCTCCCAGCAGCTGGGACTTGCCCATAGAACTTGCATCTCCACAGGGAACTCAAGGGTCCTTAGGTACAGAGAGAAGAGGACCTGGAAAGGTGGCAAACCAAATATCCCCACACCCAGGTGACCACGTGGGAGGTGCTGGGTTCCCTGGGCACTCCCTGGTGGCTGACGGGCCTTCTGAGGCTCTGTCCCTTTGCTGGCAGGAAGATCTCCAGCTCGAGATAGTTCCCGGTTTGGAAGCTGCGCTCGCAGAACCAGAGCTGGCTCCTCTGCAAGAACCCGGGCTACAGACAGGGGGTGTTGGAGTGCTGCATCAAGGGCAGGAGCTGCTAGCAGAGCCCCAGGAAGGCTGCTCAGGAGTCATGTGGGGAGGTGACAGAAGTCCTTTTGTGCTTCAGAGCTTTGACCAGAGCTTTTCCCCTAGAGCGGTTGAGGACAAGGACGAGGATGGGGTCTCGTTCAGTCCAGGGCTTTGGCTCAGCAGTGAGATGGATGAAGTAGGCTTAGAGTTGCCCTTACCGATCGAGGTCACAGAGAACTTCCAGGATGATGGGGAATATGTACCTGAGCATCAGGGAGGCTGCCAGGCACTGGGTCCAAGAGAAACCATAGCACCTGGGGCTCTGGGGAGCAGTCCAATTCTCTGTGGAGGCACAGATGCCACAGCTGCCCTAGGAAAGAGGAACTATAGCCTAGCCTTGAGGCCTAAAGAAAATAGAGAACAGAGTCCTGAGACTATACAGGATCCCAGTGATCTGTGGGCTCAAGACTGCCTTGCATTCCTAGAAGGCTGTATTGATGCCTCCACACTGATTTCCAAAGAAATCCTCCTGCCTGCTTGTCAAGGCAATGTCATTATCCTGGGGACCCAGGATGCCTCCACCTTCCCTGAGGCCAGCCAAGAGGCAGGGAACAGAGGCAGTTCCATTTCTCTGTTGGAAACCGCAGTTGACAGCAATATACTAGATGTTAGAGAAGCCTGCGGCCTCCCGTTAGGGGTCAGTGAGGATACCGGCCCGCTACATTTTAGTTATCACCCCTCAGGAGAGGGCAGGGAGGACACTGATTTGTTGAATTCAAAAGACCTTGCTCCCTTCCTAGGGAATCAAGAGTCTTATGCACATGGGACTCCCAAGGCAACATCTTGCCGGGGCCTTTCGAGAACTTCCCCTCGATGGGGAGCCAGGGGTGCCTCAGTTCTGAAAGAAGCCTCTCCTGTTAGAGGAGCATGCAGTCCAGCAGGTGGGGCCAAAGGAAAGGAAGAGGAGGAGGAGGAGGTGGAGGAAGAGGAGGAGGAGGAGGAGGAGGAGGAGGAAGATGAGGAACTCTCTGGCTTTGCCTACCTCTTGGCCTCTAAACTAAGCCTGTCACCAAGGCGTCCTCCTCTTGGTCCTCACCCTGCTCCAGGCCTGTCCTCCACGGGAGGTCAGGGGCTCCAGAGAGCATCCTGCTCCCTCTCTGCGGAGGCAAACGGCCCTGGCCAGCCTCCATATCCTGTTGCTAAGTCTAGGAAGCGAGCTCTAGTTGCAGGTCCAGTACCTACTGGAAAGAGGCCCTACCTGGGAGCAGAACTTGCGGTCTCTGGGGAGAAACCCCTGGCTCTACCCTCGCAGCCTCGTAAAAGAAGGCGCGACGGTTTGGGCTCAGGCAGAAGGAAGAAACGCCGCCGTTGCCAGTAAGGAGCAGCAGCACCTTCCTATCCCTCCTGCCAGTCCCTGAAGCCAGGGCCCCTTGAATAGATTTCACCCCAGTTGCACACAAACCAGAGACTTGTTCTCAGTCCTTTGTTTTTGTAGTTCTGCGAAAGTGGTTAGTGTGGGGAGGGAGGTCACACCAGTTTAGTTTTGAGGAGGTGCCCTGGTGGGAGGTGAGGGCGAAGTACCTTCGAAGTTGTATGAGAACAAAATGAATAAAGGTTTTTTTTGTTAGAAAGTACTCTCCGTGTGCTCATTTATATTCACTTCTTGGCTCCCAGATGGGGTAAGATGCTGTACAGAAAGGTGGGGTGGCCTTGGATTCCACAGATTGACACTTTTCCTGCCATTAGCCTTGTTCAGGCTCTCTGATAAGCCCCAGCACTGAGAAGTCCCCGTGAGACTTCATCCCTCCCCCTCATCATAGGCCAGGATGTGGGTATTTGGAGGGTTTCTCTGGACAGCCTGTCATTGTCTGTTTCCTTTTAAGTCTATATGGAGCCCTGGCTGGTGTGCTCAGTTGTTAGAATGTCAGATCACACACCGAAGGGTTTCATGTTCAATTCCTAGTCAAGGGCATGTACCTGGGTTGCAGGTTCCATCCCCGGCCCAGTGGTCAGGGCACACATGGGAGGCAATCAATAGATGTGTCCCACATTGATGTTTCTCTCTCCTGTCCTCTCTAAAAATCAATGGAAAAATATCCTCAGGTCAAGGTAAGGATTTAAAAAAAAGAGATTACCAAAAAAACCCTCACAGAAGTCTATATGGAAAGATGCTGCTGGTGTGGCTCAGTGGTTGAGCATCTACCCATGAACCAGGTCATGGTTCAATTCCTGGTCAGGGTACATGGCTGGGTTGTGGGCTGAATCCCCAGTAAGGGTCATGCAGGAGGCAGCCAATTGATGATTCTCTTGCATCACTGATGTTTCTCTCTCTCTCCCTGAAATCAATAAAAACATGTGTGTGTGTGTGTGTGTGTGTGTGTATATATATATATATAGAGAGAGAGAAATATGCTAATTAACTGGGATGCTGTAACAGGTCAACCTGACAGGAGGAGGCTGCACATGCAGCATGGGGGGCGGGGCGGCAGGGGCCTCCACGTGCCTGGGCTGGGGGAGGGCCTGATCAGCAGCGGCCACAGCTGCTTCAAGTGCCGGAGAGTGAGGCAGGGCCTACCGGCGACTCGAGGGTGGGCGGCGCCGTGTGATTTCAAATCACGCACTGGGATCCTAATATATATATATGTGAAAGATGCCCTTTAAAAAACCTGGGATAGGTATTTAATTTTTAAAATATAATTTTCCATAACTGTGTCTAGACATGCACCTCTCTATAAGAGGGCTTTATTTTCTTCTTCCTTGAAAAGAGGCTGGACAGAAGGGACTGAAGTGTCCTCAATTCAATCCCATGGCAGAAAAACCCTCTTGTGTGGTTGGTCTGAGCTACAGAGAGGAGGCATCCATCTCAGTAGGATTATTAAATATGGGATGGCAGTTAGCTATTTTTTAATCTCTAATGAGGACAGAACAAGAGGGAATAGGCTGGAAAGAGGTCCACGAGTAAGCCTGTTAAAATGTGCATACACAGGGCATGACAACCGGAGGAAAGGACATGAGAACTGCAGGATTTCTGTGCAGAAAAGCACCACGTTCAATTGGAAGTGAGGCTTCATCCAGCTCTGGCTAACAGGACTAACCTGGGGAACCTTCGGGATTGTCCAACGGCTAGCCGGCAACTATTAATCCCTTTCCTTCCCATCTAATGATGCCATCAATGTGACCGAGCTTCGTATTTTTTAAATAGATATAGATATATATTTATATTTATATATAAAATAGTTTCTTACAAAAAACCCCAAACAAACAAACAAAAATGAAAATCAACTTAAAAAAAACCAAACAATAACAAAAAATCAAGCAGGAGCAGAGAGGGCTTGAGGCCCAGGGTCGGCCCCTGGCGCTGTCTTGAGTCTGCGGGCCAGATGCGAGCTGGGGAGGTGGAGGGGCTCAGTCGCCCTTCTGCTTGGGTGAGTGCACAGTCCCGTTGGCCAGAGCAGGGCAGCTGCCTGGGGATGAGGCATTTGGTGTCTGGGAAGGGCGCAGGTAGGTGCTGAACAGCTTCCCGTGGAGTGGGTCACGGAGGGAGAAGTCCTGGAACTGACCTGGATAGATAATTGTGAGATGGGAAAAGTAAAATTACATCTAGGAAGGAGAGGAAGTGGGCACCCTGCTCTTTTCTCAGCATGTTTTGTCACTCTCATCTCTGCGTCACTTCTCAAATCCAAGTTTATGTCCTTTCAGCCTTTTAGCCAATCCCACCCATCCTTACCTCTCAGATGGTCTGCTCCCTGGCACTGGATACCAGCCCTTGTTCCCTCCCGGCCCAGTGCTGAAGGTGCCCCAAATGCCCACGTGGGCTGAGAAGACAGTGACTCACAGAGGGAGAGGCCTTGGTGAGGTCCCGCCTGGCACAGCTCGGCATGCAAAGTCTCGGCAGCAGGGCGGGGCGACCCCAGCAGCAGGTGCAGGATGGTGCTGAAGCCGTCGCTGCACAGGAGGCGGCTGGGCCCCTCTGCCTGCTCCTCCGCAAACAGCTGGGAGAGAAGGGGACACAGGTCAAGCCCTCCCCTCGTGCCATCACCCCATACTCTCCCGAAGGTCTGCCCGACAGGCTCCTCCTCTTCCAAGAATGCAAAATACAGGCCCTCCCTGCCCCCTGGGTCCTTTCTGCAGGAGAATTTAACCTCACAGCTGCTGTCCTCCTGTTCCCAGCTAAGCCTCAATATACAGACACCGGAGCTCTGCGGTTTACAGTGTGGCACAGGGCTGGACACCAAGCACCAGCTATCTAGAAGCTACTGGTAATAGAATACCACACAGGCTTCTGGGTGGGGTGAGCACAGCTGCCACGTCCACTCTCCCCCCACCCCCCTGGTACCTCAAAGGCCAGGCGAGTCAGCTCCTCTAGGCCTGTGCCCCTATCCAGAGCTGCCAACGCAAGGGCCACATCTCGGAAGTCCACCAAACCGTTGGCATCCTGGAGTGTGAAAGAGAAACGAGGGCGACGTGGGGGACCAACCCTGCGTCCTCCCTCTTCTCAGCAGGCACAGGGGTGACTCCTGTGTCCACTCCCCTGAGAACCCAGAGTCCTTAACTCTCCAGGATCCCTGATAGTTCTCTCAGGTCATGGGTTTGCTCAATCTCTACCCCAAGTCACCTGGTGACACAGCTCTCTATCAAAGGATCTTCTAGGAATGTGAGGGAATCCCTCAGGAATGCTGAAATTACCATTCAGTTCTGACTTATCGTTGAGGGCATTCCTGGCCCCCAAGCTGGAAAAATTGGTTCTCTGCTGACTCATCCTGTGTGGGAGAACCGGTCCAGCAGACTAAAAGGGGGCCACTGGCATAATTTCTTACAAAAAGACCAAGAAGGATGCCTGCCAACTCTAGGGGGAGCCATGGCATTCGGGCTTTGGTTCTGTTCTGCCACAGGCTAAGTGGGGAAGCTCCTTCCAGGGACAGTCTGTGCCATCTTAAATTTCAACACACCTGGTCACACTCTGTCCCTTCAGAGGACATTGAGAGCCACCGTCTGCATCTTAGATAAAAAAAAAAAAGAGCTCCTTGGGACCACTGGTGGTTGTTCATAAACATTAAGAATCTTCTGGGACAACCTTATTATAATTCAACAGGAAAACCTGGTAAAGTCCCAGGAAATAATCTGGTTTGTCAAAATTCTCGGGAAAGTTCAGAAATTCCCCCGAGAAGCTGTGGGATATTTTTAAAAATCTGCCCAAATATAGCAAATACTCCTGGGTCTCTAACTCTTAACCGTCTAACCTGTCCAGTGCTGTCTCCATGTCACCTTCCCACCCAACCCTCATGCCTCTTCTCTGAAACCCGAACGCAGTGACTTTCAAGGTCATATGATCCCTTGCCTTTGCCAATCTCTAAAAGTGGCTTTGGAAATGTATGGATCTCACTGACCACCCTACAACAATTAAGACATTGCTCTGCGATGCAATGGATACTCTATAAAAAAATAAACTCCTCAGAGGACCTCAGAAGCTGGCCATCTGACAACGGCGGTTAGAACATCCAGCACAGACTCCAAATTGGCCATCTAATGCGACTGACGTGGCCACTCGGGTGACATCCTTAAATGCTGAGCTCTGCGCCCTTCATCCCAGCTCCATTACCTTCTGGAAGTAGCTAAAGGCACCAGCCACGGTCTGAGGGTCAGAGAGCTGGAGCTGCCTGGCAAACTCATCCTGGTTGATCATTCGACTCCGGCCTGGCTCTGCCCCAGTGTCCACATAGCCAGGGGACAGCCTACAATGGAATTGTTGAAGGCAGAGAGCTGACTCAGTTTCATTCTGGGCACACCACCCAGCAGGACCTTGGGTCCAGCCCCAAGAGTTTTCCAGTGTTGGTACACCTGGTGTTTTTCTAAGATATACTCTGACTCCAAGTCCCTTCAGAGCCATTCTTACCGTTTTTTCACTTGGGTAATTACATATCTTTCCCTTTCTTTTTCCTCCATTATCTTTTAAAAATCCTTCTATCTTCCCACTTTTTAAAAAAAAGACTTTCCTTGCTCCTTCCCATTTCTTCTTACTCTTTTTCTGTCTATACATGACACTGACCATTCGTCACCATTAAGGTCACTTACCCAGCCTTTCGAAGAACCTTTCCCAGTTCCCAGAGCTGTGGCTCAAATGCTACCTTCAGCCGGCCCACCACAATCACAGGCAAGCTTCCTACAAACTCGCACTCGGTGGCCGGAATGCCCAGGGCCCTATAGGATGAAGAGGGATGGAATGGGGGGGAGGGGAAGAATGAGGCAGAAGAATTTTTTGAGGGTTCATTACTGACTGACCTAATGACCAGGGAGAGGACAGTGGGCTCCTTTTACCCTCATCCACCCTGTCTCAGCCCTTTCCCCCAATTTTGACTCAAAACCTCAGCCCTCCACCCC